GATAGTCAGCCTCAACTATACTATTATTACGCCCACCATGCGGTGTGTTGTTTCTTATGTGTGGCTCGGTTTTCGTGATGCCATTTTTAATAATAGGGTAAAGGTCAAATACACTCTAGGAGACGGGATTCTCCGCAAATTTAACCCGCTTTTGTTGTACTAAAGGTGTTTGGGTACCAATAACTTGGTGTCCACGCGGTATGCCTACCCACTGGACATCAACCATCGACCAACAAGTGCGTTTGCGTCTTTTCAATTACTTACTGTTAAAACAATCCAGTTGGGATTCACGTCGGCTAATTATGACAAATTAGGTAATATAATTACGACAAATTCTTGCTATATTATCAACATTCACGAACATGACAACAGCAAAGAAATTCGTCAAACATCAACGAAGAAATTAGTTTAATTTCACTCTGTTACCAGTAAACAGTAACAGATGACGCTAGGTCCTCATAAGGGTGGGCCTATAGCACTAAACGAGAAATTATCATTTCACATTTCTCAGTTTCTGCAAAAAATTAAAAAATTAAAAATAAATAAACATTCTGTAGGATTAGGCCTATTAATGCATCAATGACAAGCCGATAATAATTAATTTGCTTAACACTTACATGAGTACCCAGGTGTCCCTACTGTATAACAAAATTAAGTTATTTAATAACCGCATGGGCCCAAAATTTTTGCATAGGCTTGTTAACTTTTAGTCCGACAAGTTCCAATACTGATAATCAATTTTTTTTTTCCATTCAGGCCTGGGTTTATATGATTCGTGTTGAACAACTCGTATCCTTATTTGGATTTGGGAAGATACGAACAAAAAACATTGCAGTAAGTCGTTGATTGAAACCTGAATGCTATGAAACTGTATCAACCGAGATGAGAATTTGCGTTTTAATTTTTGGTATTTATTAATCTTAATCATCACTCAAGCTATAAAAACGATGCGTCGCAGTGCGCCGCGTGAACACCGCTGCATGACAACGGCCTACGCATTGTAATTTTTGACTGGTAAATTGTCATTGGTTTGCTATCTCAATACTTCTTATATGCCTATTAGTTTATTTATTAGGTTATACTTCAATTTTGCAGACTGAAATAGAGTGCAATAATAACAACAATATTGTAAATATAGATGAAGTAATAACATTAATAGGCTTATTATCTGTCGGGGGAGTGGAAATAATTTTGGTGACGTAGGCCCCATAAATAGCATAGTACCGATGGGAAGGGTTTTAAGCTTATAGGCCGTATCTGATCAATTTTGAAAAGTTTTTTTTTTCATTTAGGGAGGTTTTTAAAGCGATTGTTATAAACTGATCGAACACGACACTGTAATGCTAGGCCTATTTGAAATTTTATACAAATTAAAGAAAGACCTACCGTACTTATTATTGCCATTGACTGATTATTTGCACATGATGTTTAAACCTGTTTTTTTACAGGTGTATATTGTTTAAATTTCTGTTATTATAACTAATATATATATATATATATAT